AGGATGTCCAACTGCTACCACATCCAAGTCGGCCATTTTGATTAGGTCATGTGACTAGACTACCAGCTTTCTGAGGTGGAAACGAAACTTTACTGTCTATATGAAATCGGAAGATAAATGATGCCCTAACCCTGATCCTAACTCCTACTCTAACCCTGACCCTAACCCTAACCCTAACCCTAACCCTAGGAGCCTCGGTTGGATGTCCAACTGCTACCACATCCAAGTCGGCCATTTTGATTAGGTCATGTCGTGTGACTAGCAGCTTTCTGAGGTGGAAACGAAACTTTACTGTCTGTAAGAAATCAGAAGATAAACGATATCCTAACCCTAACCCTAAACATAACCCGAAACCTAACCATGACCCTAACCCTGACCTTAACCCTGACCCTAACCATGACCCTAACCCTAACCCTGACCCTGACCCTAACCCTGACCCTGACCCTAACCCTGACCCTAATTGGTGACCTAATCAAAATGGCCGACTTGGATGTGGGGGAGTTGGATATCCATCCTTGGCTTCCTGCAGACTGCAGCCAGATGTTCTTGCTCTGACACCTTTTGTGTAATTTAATGGTAAAAACTTTGCTCAAAATCCTATTGTACACAATCAGATACACCTGATAACAGGGGGCAGAAGACTACACAAAAAATAATCTTGACTTATCGCATAGTAACAAATTATCAATATTAAAATTTTCTTTTTGTTTTTTCTTTTTACATACTTTGTTAAAAGTCCAAATAAAGACTTCAAACCAAAAAAAAGTAATTTTCTGTTTTGTTTTATTTTTGCATCAGGCTTTAAAGGGTTAAATATGTCCAAAATGAAGACACCCCAGCTGGATGTGACCTTTGACCTCCTGTTTGTTAAAGTTTTTCTCTTTGTTTTCTCATTCCTCCTCCCAGTTCCTCCAGAAAAACCTGTGAACTTGACCTGCTGGTCCCACAACACCCGGGACCTGAGCTGCCGGTGGAGCCCCGGAGGGGGGGGGGAGACCCACCTCCAGACCAGATACACCCTCAAGTACCAGCTCAGGTGAGGTTTCCCGCCAAAAGCCGACCAATCAGAGGCGGGCGCTCGCTCTGACGCCCCCTCTGCTCTTTGGGTTCGGGAGTATGTATTAATTTAATACTTTTACTTTTACTTTCACGAGCTGAATTGTTACTCGTTACTGTCGTGGAGATTTTTTGGTTCTTTGTTGAGGGTACCTGGTTGTTGATTCCTTTAGGGAGAGTCTTCTGGTATGTCTGGAGACTGTGGTTTTAGCACCAGTAGGAAATGCAACAATTTCCTAAATCCCATCAAGGATGACTCTCCCATTCCTGTGTTTATCATAGAAATTGTATGACTTGCCCTATGTGCCATCCTCACACCTGAGAAGATTCTCCTTTTGATCAATCCACATGGGGTCCTTTCCTGTCTCCTGAGAATAATCATAGCTTTTTTCCTTTTGGAAATTCTCCATGAGAATTAGGAGTAAATCAGAATCTCTTTGTTTGTTGCTCATAAGAAACACAGTGGCCTTTTCCTTTCCTTTATCCATACTAAGTTATATAAGGGGACGTTTACTCTGTGATCTGTGTCTTCAAACGCTGTTGCCTTCGAATAAATCTCTCTATTGGACAAGATCGATCTTCTCTAATTATTAGGAAACTTTGCCTCACTCATTTAAAGATGTTTTTCCATAACATTGCTGATATGTAAACGTAATGAATCATCCCCAGTCATAGAGTCAGAGAGAGTCAGGGTTTGGGAAGCTGGCTCCTCATTGGCCGATTTGAGCCATCAAGCATAGCCTATAAAAAAAAAAGCCTCCTGAAAGATTGAGCAATTGTCTGTGAGCTACTGGGGGAATTCCCAGTATCTGGTTAGGAGCCAAACCTGGTTATGTTGACCTGGAGGCCGTGGTTATTCTGTTGGTGGAAGAGCTTGATGCCTCATGTTGATGCTTCTGGGCTGAAACTAAACAGATATCTGTAAG